CTTATAAAATTTAGGCAACCTCCCATACGAGGTTTTGTATTTCCTTCATGCGCGGTTTTGTATTTTAAACGAAGATATGTAGAAGTATTGCATACATATTTTGGTGCCTTTTCAAGTATAAAATCCACTGAGAAACGGAAGAAAACGGCATCCCTATGATTTAACTTATGCCAAACGTTTCGTAAACAAGCAATTCTGAACAAAAAACTGTTTTTCCACAAAGATGTTTAAATGGAAGCATTACAAATATGGAAAAATAGCAATCCACAAGGCTTTATTGGCAGTAGGTCCTTTTTAAAGCACATTTAACAAAAAAATAAACTTCTAGTTTCGAAGCTAGCACAAAATACAATTTTTTTATTTGTTGTTTACAAAAAAAATATTGTCAAGTATACAAGTCAAAAGTGTTAAATATATATCGCTTTCATTCATTTCTTCATAGAGTTGGTGCTTCTTTTATAGGAAAATTCATACGGCTTGTGAACAGATTCATACCATGTAAATGCACCATTATTGTTTAAATTTGTCAAAAAAAAATATGAAAAATTATGCCCAAGGCGAATTAATACAAGATGATAGCAGGAGTACAAAAACAAAAATTTACATGTATTTTGTTTTTGCTTTGGCGGCATAAACTGTCAAAATCTGTAAGAGTGTGTGTAGAAATTCAAACAAAATTTTTCAATTTGATATCAGAAGCCGTGCGGCGAAATACATACACAAAATCAGCTGAGCTAGTAACACCACCTTATATAAATTCGCCTTGATTATGCCGTTAGAAGCAAAGGCAGCTGAAACAAATGTTTTTTTTTAATAGCAAAAGAAACGATCACATCAAGGCGAATTTATAGGTGCGTTCGTTTAAAATCTCCAGTAAAAACCAACAAACTGCCAAATTCCGTTCTCTCACAAGAGAAAAATATCCCAAATAGTACGCGAACAGAAAATTTGCAGAAACTTGCAAATTAGATGAACAGCTGATATAATTTTTGTTTACATTCAAAAGTGTAAAATTTAAAACGTACGAAAAGCCATCACAAAATGTTATACTGACACAGTTTATTGATTAAACAAATAACTACTTATTTCTTACATGTTTAATTAGTCGCATTTTGTAATTTTTAACTTCCAAACCATCAAATTCAATTTTGTGATTTGCGTAAATGTCAACCAGCTGTTTTTGATCAGCTGTTCTCCTGTTGGCAAATTGCTGTTGGCAAAAATTTTTCCAGCAGAAACCAGCAGCTTCCCCTCAAAATGAAATGTCACTTTGCTCTCTCAATTTCCCCTACTTTGCAAGTTTTTTGCGTACGCGAACGCAAAAACTTGTAAGTTTTGGTTAAACTTGAACAATTAACAGCTACGCGAACGCAGCTAATATAAGGTGATAGCAGGAGTACAAAAACAAAAATTTACATGTATTTTGTTTTTGCTTTGGCGGCATAAACTGTCAAAATCTGTAAGAGTATGTGTAGAAATTCAAACAAAATTTTTCAATTTGATATCGGAAGCCGTGCGGCGAAACACATACACAAAATCAGCTGAGCTAGTAACACCTCCTTATATAAATTCGCCTTGTTTGGTACCCACACATAGCATTTGGAAGATTACTTTAATAAAAATCACCTTACTGAGTATTCTTTGATCCCCTTTGATGATTAAAAACCATGATAAAAACATTACAAGGTAAATTCATTCTCTCATTTCGTCGGCCATGATTTTTTTCTGACGTTTGCCAACATTTTAAAATCATATAAAATTGAAAATAAAAAAATTAAATTGTTCACAATTTTTGTTGTTTGAGATTGAAAATGAGAATGTGTGTGTGAGTTTGAGTTGATGGTTTGGAAGATAAAAATTACAAAATGCGACTAATTAAACTTGTAAGAAATAAGTAGTTATTTGTTTAATCAATAAACTGTGTCAATATAACACTTTGCGACGACTTTTCGTACGTTTTAAATTTTTCACTTTTGTATGTAAACAAAAATTATATCAGCTGTTCGTCTAACTTGCAAGTTTCTGCAAATTTTCTGTTCGCGTACTATTTTGGATATTTCTCTCTTGTGAGAGAAATAGAAGTATAAGATTTTGCATATGAAGCATATTTAACTGATGAAAACATAAACTGTTTTTAAATTGGATGTTTACATCAGAAATGAACCATAATTTATAGTCCATCGAGGTCTGGGCTACCATATGGCCAATCAGCAATATAAATGAAGTCCGGGACAATATTTTGCTTTGAGCGTTCAACTCTCGGAATGACCTTAGACCATCCTTAGACGCAGGACTGGATGATATAAAGATTATTTAACAGTTTGACTTACATATACATATGCTTCAACGCTTGTTCATTTAAAAAATTTTCCAAGATGGCAAAAAGGCGTAACACCGTCAGCAAAAAAAAAATACAAGTTCCCGGTATGTCTCCACGAACTCAATTCTCTACATCTTTAATAGCCTTTGGCGTTCGCACACGGTCGACTATTCCACCAATCTTCTCAAATAACTTCACGCTACGATACACAAAATTTGGATTGATTTCCAGTGACTGCAACATCCGCAATATTTCGCCGTTTTCGTAGCTGCATTTTTGCAAGCTATTTACCACAACCCGATTTTCGAGCGAACCGAAGGCAAATCGGATGCGCCTTGAGCTAACGCCATTCATAATAAACACACAAATTATGCAGTATGTTTAAATGTCCGCAGTTGCGTCCTATACCTACGGTGACCATAAATATGGATTTAAAATGAAGGACAATTTTTCAAAAATAGGCCTACATATATTAACGTAGTATAAAAATATCAAAAGAGTATTTATGATTCTAATTAATTAATACATTTTAAACTTTTAAAATTAATCACGTTTTTGCACCGATATTAATCTTTTTTTACATGAATATTTATAAAAGTATAGTAAAACATATTATAATTACAATAGCTTACACGAAAAGTGAAAATCTTTAAAATATTATTTTATAGGCAAATTTTGAGTCGTTCAAAACGAAAACAATACAATTTTTTTTTTGTTTTTTTGGTACTTTTCGCAGTTATTTGTCAAAAATCGACGTAGACGACGAGTTACAAAGTGCCCTTTTCAAAAATATATAATTTGTGCAGATTGCGCTCCGTAGCATCCACATTTCTAATCCGATTTTCATTATCTTTGGCTCAAAATTTATTGTAGTGATATATCTTCATTATCGAGTTTTTAAAATAATGAAAAAAAAATATTCAAATGAAACTGCGTATTTGATTGAAAATCTAACTTTTTTCGACTTTGACGACAAAATGCAAATGGTAATGATAATTTTCATTGAAGTCGCTACAAGTTATATATTTTGGTAAGAGACACACCATACCTTTCGAGCTGTAAATCGCTTACGTTGATTGGGAGATTTTTTTATGAGATATTGAAAAAATCCATCCATTGTCCGATAATTTCAAAGTAACGAAGAAACTGCGGGACAGATGCAGGACACTTGGGAAAAATCAGTACATTTTCAGGTTTTTCAGATTTGAAAAACTACGCAGGACCGACCTTTGAAAAACAGTACGGTCCTGCAAAAAACAGAACGGATGGTCACCGTACCTATACCGCATGACGAATCTTAACCAAATTTGGCACACCTACCGCGGGCTTTCCAGCAATGGTCATAGGCTTAACTTTTCGGAGGGTTTTGGAAAAGTGTACATTGTCAACCAATTGTAGTTCGGCGTTATGGAACATTAAACTTTGTACGTATGCAATGCAATTGACGTTTTGGAAGTCAGCCTATACCCCGCAAACATATTCTGAGCGTTCAGAATATATGAGTCCGAAAGGTGTCCTAGGTGGGTAAGAAATATGAGTTTCAAAAACAAAAAATTGTTTACTCTTATATGAATCTTTTAGGATTCATATATGATCCAAGTTATGAGCCAGCACCTTGTGCGAATATAAAAACAATAAAGATTTGAAATTTATATCTAAACTTGTTCATACAGAAATTAAAAATAATTAGAAAACAAAAAATGAACAAAATTTTGCTGCAGCTGCTGCTATTGAATGCATGTTGGAATGTGTATATGCACGTAAGTATGTATGTATGTTATTTGAAAGGTATTTTTGCTGAATGCCTTTGCAAATATAGTGAGTTCCATAAGACTCAAAGAATAACGTAAAATAAGAGTCCGATTGTAGTAATTTATGAGGCCGGTAAGTCTTCAAAAGAGTCTGAAATGATTCCTATATGAGGCCAAAAATTGTTTTAAAAGAGTCCAAAATGAGCCGTATATGAGGCCAATAAGAGTCCAATATGGCTCATTTGATATATGAATTTAAGCTCATATAAGTCGACATTCGGAGGAATGGATACACCCTCATACATTTTAAAATCATATAAAATTGAAAATAAAAAAATTAAATTGTTCACAATTGTTGTTGTTTGAGATTGAAAATGAGAATGTGTGTGTGAGTTTGAGTTTTGATTTTAAAATTATATTGTTGGCAAACGTCAGACTGCCTCTCAATGGTTTTACCTTGTTATGTTTTTATCATGGTACATACTATGAAATGAAAATCTTTGCTCAACGTTTGTCATTTTAGATCTCATATTTTTTTATAATTTTTGCTAAAATTTTAACATCAAAACTTATCGAGACAAATTCTATGGGGCTAGGAAAGACTATTTTCTACTTTTTAGTACATTTATAGAAACATGGTATATTAAAAAGTTTTTTTATTTGATTTTTTTTTATGATACTGGCGCTCATAAAAGTTATTTGTCTTAAATTGTACATAGTGCGTGAGCGACTGTTGGATAAGTATTTAATTTGCTTTTTGATCTAACAAAAAGAAATCTCTCTCACATGACTAGCTCTTCTCTTCAACAGATAAGATTAAACTCATTCGACAGCTTATAATTTTTAAAAATAAAAACAAAGAACAGCTTTCGGGTCTAGTATTCTGCAAAATCATCAGACTTATGACTAAGAAAATAAATAAAGCACACATATAGGTACATACCTCATATGAGGAGCCAACGTTTAATGTCGAGAAAACTGGCAAATACACTTTAGACACAACAAACGCCATCAAAATAATGGGCACAATAATTAACCAGTATTGTGTGCCGTAGGTGTAGATTTCCGATGGTACGCCCAGCATAGTGACTCCAGAAATGTAGCTGTTTTTTTTTTGTATGAAAAATTAAATAAAAGTTTTAATTAAAAAAACATTAATATTACGAGTACTTTAAAATAATTAACATACTAACCTGGCAACAAGGCTCATCGCCACTGGAAATACCTTCAGCTTCCGCGATCCCAACAAATATTCACTCATTGCTTTGGAACCAAAGTCGGGTTCTTTTTTATGAGTGTTCAACTCCAAATTGCTGATTGGCTGAACTGGTTTGATTTTCTTTCTAAAACAAGTAAATTTTGTTAGATAGTTATATTACATATATACATATTTATGTAAATATTTCAAATTTGTGATACTCTATTTATGTACCTTATGTAGCCGAAATAGATACCCGTTCCCGTGGAGAATAGCAGCATAGCCGCAAAGACACAGTAATCGGCAATTGAAAAATGAAATTGTGAATATTCTGCATATTTTAGCGACTGAAAAGAAATAACTAGTGTCAATACACTTATTTGGACAGTTTTTTAAAAATCTTACACAATAGGGCTGATCCTGAACCCACTCCGAAATTACGATTTGTTACCATATTTTACTTGAAATCGATCCCGTACACGCTTATTTTTGCTATTTGACAGTTTTACTAACTTTAGTCCGAGAAGTAAGGGATCAAGCCTAATATGTATATTGGTGGCAACATTGATATGTTTAGTCTGAATTTCTCTACTTTTCCGCGGCTTATATTTCTAACACATACGGACCCGTGCGCAGCAAAATAACCGTAAAACTTAATTTGGGTTTACGCCAAAGCTGTTGATTATTAGAGTTTCCTTTAAAAGCAGCATTCGTTATTAACAATTAACAAAGCCCAAGGACAAAGCCGGCTAATATTTACCTACACTGAGAAAAAGGATTAGTTTCGACAACTAAAGATATTTAGTTCCCGAATTTTGACAATATTTGGGAACTGTTACCAAGGATTGGGAACTATTACCATCGATTGGTAATTATAACTAAATATATTAAAGCTTCTAATATTCATCTAGGTTGTAACAAATCGTTAATTTAGTTGAAGGGTTTGGTTAATACTAATAAATATTTCTTTGAAGCATATTTCTACAAATTCCATTCAACTTAACGTATGGTTCATAAAAGGATGTTATTAAGCTCTGCTAATGCAGATAAGCTTTCTTTCAACACGTGGTTTAGTCATAGTTACCAAATCTTAGTTGAGGCAACCACGATTTGGTTTGAGAGTGGAACATATTCATGCTTGTGATTATCTCTAAAGAATGCTGAGCGCTCTCTGAGCACATACGAAGAGCGCCAGCTGAGCAATGCACACAGTCCCACTCAGGGTTGCCACTGACGAAAAAAAATATTTACCATCCACTTGAAAAAAATCTACCAAATCTGGGAAATATCTACCAATAACTTTTTTATAATTATTTTAATTAAAACTATAGTTTTTTTATTTTTTTTTTAAGTTATTTCAATAAGAATTAAAATTGTTTTCAAGAACTTTTTATTTAACTAGTTATACGGTATTTGAGTCATATTATTGGCATATTCTCAGTTTCCTTCAACCAAAAGCGGAAGTGATGAAACTAAAGGCAACAATGAAACTTCGACTCGAGTTATTATAGACAAATACAGTGACTCAAAAAAGTGATTTTTTTAATATTCGCAATATTTTTCGAGTAAAAATTGTTTATTGCTTTAACAAAATCCATAAAAATCGAGGATTCAAACTATATACAACATATAGAAAAATTCCAAAAATTTGCATCTAAATTTCGAATTTTTTACTCTGAATTTTTAGAACAATTTAAGGTATGGGGTTTTAAAGCAAATACTATTTGAGTATAGCCAACAATGTGCTGCTTACAATTCCCATTGATTTTTTTTATATTTTTTTCCCATTGATAAAAAATGGCGTTGATTTAATTTTTTTGCGAACAATCATAGTGCGTAATTACATACTTGTCAATTTTTCCTTTTTTTTTAAATAATCGTTTAAAATATTTAGGCAATCAAAAGCTCCTCAGGATTCCAGTAAAATTAGTTTTGAATGGAGCGCGATATATTAGCCATATATCGATATACATTTATACGTATGTAATTATATAAAAAGTATGCAAAAAAATGTATAATATATTTGAAGATAACTACGAAAAATAAATCGGGAACGGAAATTTCATTAAAAATCTACCAAAATGAGAAAAAATTTACCTTTTTACCAACCCAAATTTTGTCTACCAATTTTGGTAACAATTTACCAAAGTGGCAACCCTGGTCCCACTTATTGAATCGTTTGAATGCGCTAGTATGCCGACCATTGCATTGTGCGTGGAAATCATTGCTCCGCTACCGCTGTTCGTATATGGGTGAAACACGCATGTGGTCCCAGAGCGCTCAGTATGCTATGGCATGTCGATCGCTGCGCCATTTGTGCTATGACATGCCCATACTTGTTTGTCTCAGTTTCAGTTTTGCTATCATCACGAGTTGTTTCGGTGCGCGCATAGTTTAAAGTTTAATTAAAAATATAAAGTTTGATGCCAACCGGGGTTTTTCAGTGGATATATAATTCATGTGAATTATAATTTGAAAGTGTCTATTTAGCTAAGGAAAAAGCAAAGCAGTATACTTCCAGCAGATATTGACCTGGGTTTTCGCACGACTGTTCTTGTTTCATCGTTGTTTTTTAGGAAATTCTTACCAACATATACATATGTATTATTTACT